CCTGATACCGCTGTCAGCGGCTCGTAGAAGAAACTCAGTTTTTCCTTGATTCTCTTTCAGTCGATCGTAGTTTGTGCGAATTGTGTGTGTGCGGTGTCTGGTGCGGCAACATGGACAAGGTCTCGAATATTACTCGACCAATCAGAAGTAGTTTTTTTTGAAGAAAAAGAAACACAAGAGTCTAAAGGCTGTTTTGGCCGTTTTTGATTCCAGTCAGGAGCGACCTTGCTCGGCGGGGGAGTTTCTTGTTTTGAACGTTGTCCGACACGCACCTTTCATCATCATCATGGCAAAAGAGCCGCCCGAATGTCGGTGTTCGCGCTATAGCTTCGACTGCTAGTGATTCTGGGCAGGACTCTAAGTTGAGCCCTTGAGCTTTCCCGGAAGAACTTTTGTTTCTTTCGGCATATTTTTGTGCAAGAGTTTTGTGCATTCGCTGCTTGTAAGCAGTCGTCATTGATTTTGATCCCAGTTACTGATACCAGCGGCGAGCCATTGAATTCGCCTCGAACGTTTACATACTCTTGTCTTGACATGCGCTGAATCGATAGCATCAGTCATCTATAATCTGTCGGGAAACGCAGTGTTTCCGATGTATTCTGTCCGTAGCCTTTCCTGACCTGGGGATGTCGGATGTCGGCGCGCGAGGCTCGGCGATCCGAGCGTCGGCGTCGTCGTATCGTACGGGGCGCGAAGAACAAAACCGTCCGCTGGTCTTCGAGCCCGATACAGATCGCAAGGAAGGACCTTGCCATGAATGTATGCGCATTTCCGTTCACGGAATGGAACCTATTGAATTCCGGTTCCTCTTTCCGCCTGTTTGTAGAGCGCCGCGCAGTCCGGTAGAAAGAGGAAGTCAACGGAAAAAGCGTGGATTGAGGTCCGTGGAATGCCGACTCAGGAGTTGTGGGTGAGGCGTTGAGCAGAGGCATTGCGAAGGCCTGGCAGTCGACAGGGTTGGCGATCGGAAGTTTCGGAGGATTACTCTGTCGCGGGGAAAGTAAGGACAGCAAGAGGGAAGGACGCAGTCACGGAGCCAACGAACAAACACATGGGAACAGTATCGACTGTCAGAAATTCCGAAAGCCGGGGCTTCGAATTCGTAGGCGTCCGAGTGACTCGTCAGTCCCACGTAGTTCTGTGCTGGGATCGTCGTCGGGAGGAAATCATTGTACCACAGTTCGACCTCGGAACTATTCCCAGCAGCTTGTTTGTCGGTTCGTTCAAACACTTCTGAAAAGTGCGTCAACAGCTCCAAGGCTCTGGGAAACAACAGCAGCAACAACAGCGCGCGAATCAGTCGGTGCTCGCTCGGTCTGCTCACTCGCATGATCGAGGAGAGAAGCCAGGAGAACGAGCGGTAAAATTCAGAAAGCTACAAAAGAGGTCCGGCTAAGGATCCTGGAACAACTTCATGAATTCTAAACGACGCTTACGATCTGAACGAGTTCCAGAAAGCGGATCGTAAGTCGCTACCCCGTGTAGTAAGGCCAAAGTCAGCTGCTGCTGCTACCGGCGCCGCCGACGAAATGTACCGCGAGTTCGACTGCTTGATGGTATTGCGATTTTTTTCTCCATTCTTTTCCCCTCGATCATCCACCACTGGGAGCAGCAGCTTCTCGGACCGGCTTTCATATACGGCGCATAAATTGCAAATCCCTCTCCCGTGCGACGTCGGAAGTGTCGGAATGAGTTGAAAAGTAAATAACTCACGACTGAAATCTCCCCTAAATTCTTCAGTGATCCGAAGGTGAAAACTTTCTCCGACGACAATGTGCCTTCCTTCGCCCGCCAGCCCGCCGCCCGACCGAGCAAGCGACCGATAATTTCAAATATTTCCTCGTGGCGTCGGATAATGGAATGAAAATGGAAATCCCGCTCTCACCTCCGATCTATCTTCCGACCATTCCACTATTTATCAGACTGACCCGCGAGCATTCCCTTCGGTCCAGAAGTGATGCACCGATAATCGAGACCTTCATCCGAATATCCGGATCTACCCCTGACTTAAAGACAGGCTTTCAGTCACAGAGCTGTAGAATATGTGCGACCTGGGCATCGGGGAATACTTTCAACAATGCTTCTTTCTAGCCCGATGTATGTATGGACATCCGCAATATTTCAATCGAAGCTCCGCGCTCGCAGTCCCTCCAAAGTCTCGGAAGCCGAAGCATGCAAAGCGAAAATGGACTGATTGTTGGAGTCGGCGGGGGCACTCCGATTCTACGGACCTTGATTTGGTCATTTCTATATCGAACCGAAATGCTCGTATCCGTCGGAAATGTCGTCCACGGCTTGAAGAGGCGGAAGGCAGGTATCAATGACCGGTAATGAGCGTTTGAGACTGTAATCAATGATTGGCCCGATGAAGACCTCCATAATGTCGACGGACGCCGAAAGCTAATTGGAAAGTCGTGCGCCAACACAGCCAACCTTGGTTTTCTGAACTTCACACTTCGTCGCTTTCGTTCTACCGTTCATGAATCACGAGCCGAAATAAGATGCGATAGGTACTTCACACTTCACAACCACGACGGAGTGGATTGGTCGTCTAGCTCCTCCAGGGTGCTGCTCATTCACTGTAGATGGAAGATTCTCTCTTCGGATCCCATTCGGAGGGCTTTTTCGAATGCATGGATTCCCTTTTGATTCTTTGTCGGCCGACGCACAGGATACAGCTCGCTTCGCGCGGGAATGAATGTATCTTCGAGCCTCCGGTCTGAAGATATAATTCGAGATGGTCGCCCTCGCAAAAATTCCTCTGTGAGGTGGTCTGGACACTTTCGCGTGGATGGAGCTACTCACGATCGCTGCTGGATGACGGAATTAGGGACCGGAAATATTCGCAGAGCGAGAAAGATCAACTTTTTGATTTCGGAGACGGTCGAGATCCGATCTGCCGAGGATCGTACGACCAACTTGATGGAGACTAACGAATCGTCGATTGGATCGACTTCGGCACCATTATCGACGACAGCGAAGCGGACGGAAGGGCCCTCGATTCACATCATGGCTCCATCGTCAGTCGCTTGCCTTAGCGACTCAAGATGGAGATGCTGTCCGAACTGTCAACATTTGTTCTACGCTCTGTCGTATTCTGTCGACAGGCTGCTGCATTGCATGAGGCGTGAAGTTGAGACAGTATCATTCGTCACCCTCGGTTCTAACGCTGCCGAGCAACAATATGCGGGTGCCCGCTTGTTTGAGCTCCGAAGCTCATCAATGATGGACAGGATGAAGGGGTTGCAGGCTCGGAGCTCACTAAGATGCCCGGTTGGAGAGTTCGTTGCGAGGATATGCATACGTGGAGGCTTATCTGCTCCAAGGAAGCAATTTCATGACACTGCGATGACCCCCGATAACCGACATATTTTGGCGAAAACCGAAGCCAGCGTAAACGTCGCATGCTCATCCGGCGAAACCAGTTTGCCACAATCTTCCAGGCGACATTCGCTTGTTTGACGAGCGGTGGCGAGAACTAAAAAAATCGTACAAAAACTCACATAGGTGAAGAAACAATTCCCCAAATCGTCCTTCGTTCGAACGACTGTCCCGAAAAAGAATAGAGGGAACTCGTTCGGGAAAAAACAAGAAACAATAAAATATGATGGGTTCCGTTCGATGATTCCACGTCAGTGTTTCCGGCTGACTTTTCATTCATTGAATAAGCGGGCTGCTCATTCCGAATGGCAAGATTGGAGAAAAACGGGCGAACTCTTGCGATTGCAATATGAAACCCAGATCGGAACGGTATTCCCGCTTATTGCTTCGAGAATTTGCGCCCTTGAGGAGATTTTCCAAAGGAGCAGCCGTCGGCCAAGCGAGTAAAGCGGTGGGCAGTGAGGCAAGAAAGCCTCACCCTTTCAATCCACCAAAGATTGTCAAGATCGCTTTTCTGGCATACCGCATTCGGCGTCCTTAGACGAAAGCTTGTGCCATCCAACTAAACATGCCATCTATCCAGGAGCATTCGAGCGAATAAGCGAGCGATCGACGAGTGAAAGGGAAATTCCTCCCATTCACCTTTCAACTCTCGCGGCTCACAAAAAGACTGCTTATTATTATCATCATCATCATCGGTATTATCGTTACTATTGTCATCGTACAGCTCCACCCATCAATTCTGCCTGTCGTTATCGGAAAGCACTTTGTACTGTAGAAATTTCGCTCTTTGTTATTTCCGCGAACACTACCTCGGCCATGTGGGGACATATTTCGAAGAAGGGAACGATAAATCGCCCGGCTTGCACGACTCCGGACTTCGGACCATAAGTGTGCTTCCCGACATCGATCTTCAATGGAGCGAATAGTTCAATCTGGACTGGGGAAGTTCTCCGGAGGGTTGGATTCTCGGGGGCGTTAGGGGAAAAAAATCTTCATGAACCTTTCTTGTCCAATGTTATTTACGCTGCTCGTTGCAACACGGAAGTGTTCGTGAACATCCCTCGTATACAGTGCTTATCTGTCCCGAGTTAGGCTCACTGAAGCACCGCGCCGCAAGGAGATACTCGCTGAATACTCCGAGAGAAATCTAATGATCGGGGATCTCCAGGCCCCTTTCGTTGATGGGATCATAAGGGAATCTGGAAGCATTTCCGAATCGGGAACTCCGCTTCCCCGCTCTAGTCAAGCGCATATATAATCGATTGAGAGAGCAGCAGCCACTAGGAAAGCAACGCTCCGCGCACCGAACTCTTCACTCTCAACAGCCTCAGTATTCAATTACATTCGGGCAGGGATTCAAGCTTGGATTAATAGAAGCCCTCCCGGTCAAAAGCACAGGATACTTGATACAAGCCAGATTCAGGATTTTCGAACCTCGTTCAAGCGGAGCTAGCAAAATTACCACTAAAAATATGTTCCATTATAGAGCCACGCTGTTTCGATCCCTCGAAGGGGTCATAGTACGCAATGAGATTCCAGAGCCCTCAGACCTTATACACGGGGAATCCCGATGTATCCGACGCTGGTTAACGATGTTTTTCTCATTCCAGATTCACACACAAATGTCAGAGGATCAATTACGGCAGGTTTTTCACGTGAGATCTTCTGATCAAGGTTAGTGGAATCGATCGAACAGGCGTAATATTGAAACTCTTACCTACCGCTGGATCAATTCATTCGTGAATCAGGTGCGCTCTGGCTTTTGGAAGCCCGGATTTCCTCTGTTTGTCAGGCCGCAGTAGGCCGATCGTATGCTCCTTCCTTTTTCGCTCCAAAGAATGAACTATCTCACTTAGCGTGACTGCTGAAACATTCGGTCAAGCTCAGACTCGGCGGCCGCAGCTCCGACTCCTCGCACATGTCATGATGTTGACGCTGGTGAAGTTACATCCGGGAATCGTCCGCTAGTCGTCGAGCTTTTTCTCTGAATACGTTTTTTCGGCCATGACCATTGGTGTTTGGCCTTCTGTGGCGTGATTTGTGTAATTTCCGTCTTAAAGACTTCTCATATTCGCCTGAACAATATGCTGAGAATGATTGTTTGCTTTCCGAACGAATGCTGCGTCCCCAAACTTCGCGCGTGGTAATCACTACGGCGATGATAACGCATGCCTACGGAAATGATATCATTTTCACCGCAGTAATAACAACATTCTATCCTATGGGTTGGAACCCGAGCCCCGGAATTTCAAACAAGTCGGAAGGGCTGCAGAATGGTGAATTGACAAGAAAGTTTCGAGCGAAAACCGTGTCTGTCAGCCGTCTCATAGGCCACATGTGACATGATGACTTCGAAGCGGGGAAGCCCGCTCGTTAGGCGAACGGCACCGAAACCGGCAAGAAGGCCCTTCCTTCGAGCTCCCCTCGCTGTACCGTGCGACCGAGAACGAGAATTAAAACGAAGCTCGATGGCGATCTACAGAATATGAATTCTTCCAGTTCCCGAATATGAATTGGTCACGATATCGCACAGCGTCCGAAATTCGCCGAGAGTCCGACGCGGGGCCGAAATTCCAGCGGCTGGGCATGATGCCTCTGATGAGGCAGCGAAACGTCAACTGAATCTCTCTCTACAAGCGTTCGGGAAACGGATAAAACTCAATCTCTCGAAAAACGAAGATTTCCAACGGAGAGTCGAGGGCCTGAAAATGTTCACCATGTCGACGACTAGCCGAGGAGGTAAGTCCTAAGTTTTGCGAGTGAGCAGGAACTCCGGAAAACCGATTTTCCAAGCTCGCTCTTGAACGACTCCGTGAGCCTCCCCTATTCGAATTCGTCTTCCCAAGCCTTGTCCGGGAGGATTCTTTATCCTTTCGGCGAGCATACTGACTTGTTCATTGGGCCTATATCATCTCAATAACCTCTTTGAACCGAATCCAGGGGTCGAAATTCGCGCGGCCGACGATTCGAATTCCGAAGAACGTTCTTCGCCTGTCACGCCGTACGTGGACGAAGCCAATAACGCTGCCTTGTTGTTGAGTCGATATCCTGCCGGCGGGTTCCAAGTCGAAGGTGGGTGCGAATGTTTCTTCTGGCTGGCAGTCCGTCAGTCATTGTTTGACGAACTGATAGACGATAAGAGTGACAGGCCAGAGGCCTGGGTCCCGACCCTGATTGTAAAGTAAGCCCGTAATCAAACGTTTCCCAATCCTGATTGCGTCCTAGGAACGGTTGGCCACGACCTAGTGATTGCTCCAGTTCCCGAAGGCCTTCGTAATGAGACCTTTTACGATGAGGAAGAAGGAACAGCCGACGACGAGATGTTCCTCGATGAAGACGATTTCCAGACGACATCGTCTTCGGTCCCCACGTCGCCGAGCAAAAAACCGAAAAAATCGAAGAATCCTAAGAAGTATCTCCCGGGAATGGAGAAGAAACAGAAGCTCAAGAAATACAAATCTTCAAAAGAATCGAAATCTGTCCATTTTGTCTATAAACGAGACCCTCAAGGAGTCCACGACGCGCACAGCGATTTCCGTAAGTGTGTCGAAGAGCCGCCTACCGAGAGAACTGCCCCTCGGGCCGTAGTTCTCGGATAGTCTCATCTGACCCGATTTCTCCTTTCAGTATCTCTAGACACATTAGCCTTATCAAACAATCATACGAGAACTCATCGGATCCGGAAGCGGGCCGCTCCTGACACGGTGTGGCCCGAAGTTCTTCTCATCGTGGACTACGATACGTACGCGTTGCATGGGAGAAGCCACGCCGAAATTAAGCGTTACTTCGTCAGTTTCTGGAACGGCGTCGACCTCCGCTACAGACTCTTGGCGAGTCCTCGGGTCAAAATCAGCTTGGCCGGCATGATCGTCGCCAAAGACCGCGACGCGACTCCTTACCTCGAACGCAATCGTCTTCGGCCGCCCAACGAGGACGCGGTCGATGTCGCCGGGGCTCTCACCGATCTCGGGAAATATCTCTATCGGGAAGATCGGCTGCCCACTTACGACCTGGCAGTTGTCATCACGAAACTCGATATGTGCCGACGCCACTACGAAGGAGGACGATGCAATAGAGGAACCGCCGGTTTCGCCTACGTCGGTGGAGCTTGCGTCGTTAACAAACGACTCGAGAAAGTGAACTCGGTCGCGATCATCGAAGATTCGGGAGGTTTCTCGGGCATCATTGTTGCCGCTCACGAAGTTGGACATTTGTTGGGTTGCGTGCACGACGGCTCCCCGCCACCTTCCTACCTCGGAGGTCCTGGAGCTACCAGCTGTCCCTGGGAAGACGGTTTCATCATGTCAGATCTCCGTCATACCGAGAGAGGATTCCGCTGGTCAACTTGTTCGGTGCAGCAGTTTAAGCATTTCTTATTGTGAGTACATAGTCGAGTCTTTGATCTTTCTCCTCCGCCTCTCCCTCGTGAGCTGACGTTCCCCCCCCCCCTCTCCCGTTCCTACAATCGGGGTTTTCGCAGTGCTGTCGCGAACTCAGTCAGGTTGCGGTCGCTCGCGGCCCCTGGGTCCAATCTGGGCCTCTGCTTTATGATATGGAAGCTATCCGTGAGAGCAGGCTGCCGCCTCTGGAGACATGTTCTCCTGGATCTTCGAGTTTCGGTGGATAAAATAATGTATTTTCTGTTTCAGCGGAGAAACTGCGTCGTGTTTATACAACTATCCTCATGAGAATCAACTGTTGGCGCGAGTGCTGCCAGGCACCATGCTCTCCCTCGACGAACAGTGTCGTAGAGATCGAGGGACGAGCGCGTGCTTCGTACGTACAATCTCTGTCGTGATCATTCCATTCGTAATTCTCTTCGAGAGACGGCAAAGGTCCAATCACGGCCGTTATCTTCGTATTACAGAAAGACTCGAGAGTGTGTGCTCAGCTGTTCTGTTTCGATTCTTCGTCTGGTTATTGCGTATCCTACAGACCTGCGGCGGAGGGCTCCCCGTGTGGCGACGGTCAAGTCTGCAAAAACGGCAAATGTATCCAAGAAATCGAAAACATTATCCCGGATTACTCACAAGTATCAGCCAGCGTGGCTTCTCCAGCAAACAGGTAACAACGTGATGGGATCCGACCAGGATCGGAAATGACTCGAAAGCAATAAATACGAAAGGGAGAGACTCACCATTTTTCTGATTCAGAGTCGAGAGCACCCGATCATCCCGTCGATTGGATTCATCCTTCGAAACATCGTCTACGAAACGAACCAGAGGGAGATCCCGGACGACGACGATTCCAACAACGACAGTGGCAGCCGTGGCGGACCGCCGGATCGACAAGGTAATCATTCCCAGCTGCACAATCCATGCTCGGGGATTTCTGCCCCGGTCGGGCACTCTGCATGATGGAACAGACCTAATAAATCTAATGACTTCTGTTGGAACTGGTCGAAGACTGTAGGACGGTTCAGCAAGACGATCCCCAGCTTATAGCGGAGCTCCGCTCGTCGTACATTCTTATGCACCGGCGATGGATAAAATCCCCCTCAAACTCCGTCGTTAGACATGGTACGGCGTACTAAGCCTCTTCTTCTCCCACAGGTTGACTCCACTGAAGAAACGGAGTGCATAGACGTTGTTGAGAAAATTGCGGATCGCATGACATGCGCTGAGTTCCTAGAACATTTCGGCCAACGATACTGCAGCCACAATTATATCCGAACGAACTGCTGTTACACGAGGTCTCTTATGTGCACTGTGTGAGAGGCTGGACCTCGATTGGTGAAGTTTGCCAAGTGGAGCAAGTATTAGCGAGTGGGCTCCGCATGAGCGAGCAGTCCACTCCGAGATGAAGAAAGTTTGAATTCTCATCGACCATCTTCGACCAGGCTTCGGGATTGTCTCCAGGCCGTGCCATGCGCTTTTTGAAATCAGGCGACGAACGCTTGTACATTTCGGTCCCGATAGTTTTTCTTCATCTTCCTCTTGCTATTCTTCTCCCCGAATGAATGTAGAGAGAGGAATCACGTCCCGCGAGAGGAACACCTCAATCGGGATGTGATGACCGACATATAGTTCAGTCGAGTTCAGACAGAGAGTGAATTATTTTCTAGGATATTCCCTCTTCGCGCGCTCTTCCCTACTTTTCCCAACCCTGATCCTGCCTGTCGGATTCTTGCCCTAGTTGTAAATATTACACCGAAATCTTCGACGAAACGATTTTAGCGATGAGAAGATCGTGGCATTTTATTTATTTCACCCTGCTGCAAACAAAATCTATTTGAACGGTTAGATTACTCGAAATTTGCATCGACTGCCAGCGGTCTTGAGCCAGCTCAGGTTGCGCATACTGTACAAACTCTTCAAAGAAAAATGGCCAATCCGCTTGTGGGGTAGTACTTGGCCTAAGGCATCATCAATACCGCAACAATATCACTGAGTTTCATTTTCGGTTCCGCACTCCCTAGAAATGGAAAACTTGGATCATCCGGGCCCGCGACTTCAAGTTGTCGTTTGTGATCCGGTGGCGGTGGCATCATGACCGCGTGTGAACGAAGCCATAACACCGCCGATGTTTTCGCGGAAAGCAAGATCGATTTCCGTCGATAACAAACGACGATTCAAAGCTCACTGTTCTTATGTCCAGAGCACTTGCTGAAATTGTTGGTCATGATCGAACAGTTCCGTTCTCTGTGATTAAATTCTCCAAGTCTTGAAGTCTCCTCAGGCAACATGAATAGCACGGAAGGATCACGTGCTCGTGGATTTCAATAAACATATGTTATTATCCAACGATGGCGGGTGTATTCTCAATGAATTGGTATGCGGCAAGCTCTACAGAAACTCGTATATAGGTGAAATTTTCTAATTCTCTCGAGGGACTTGGTCGAACTCCACGAGACCGAAGGCTCGGGAAGATGGCGCGCCCCGCTGAGGCCCGAGTTCCAGCGTGGAGGACGAAAAACTCCCAGAGGGGGTCTGACCCTTTCGCGTAAGTCCCTGAGCTAGCCTCCCGTCGGGGTATCGCAAGGACTTCATTCAAAATCTCGCTGCCCCAATATACGTATCGTAGGCCAGAAGAACTAAGCCAGGTAGATCCGGCAAGAGCTCTTCGGAAGCCTGGAAGAGCCGTTGGCTTCACGCTAGATATGAGCTGAGTTTCCCCTTCCGCTGGTTTTCTTGCATTCGTTCGCTATGATCGACATCCGGGGCTTCGGCAGAGAATCAGCCTGCTGACCTCGAACTTTCGCGTAGCTGCCATGATCGGGAGTACTTCCGCGGAACTCCTGATGGAAATGAAGAACCTCCGAGAAGAAATAGTTTGTATATCCTGCTTTCTAATAGTAAGAAGTCATTTCCTGCGAATATGTGCCTCTTTATCCGGGGATACGGGAAAACCGCCTCCGAAGAATCGGTCGTTCAATTGGGAGTTTGTGGCCCTTCGGTCAACGCTCGAGCTGTGGTCTCTGAGGGGACATCATCGTAGGAAGCTGCAGGGCGAACTCCATTCTTCGTGAGATTTGGAAGTCCCTTCCCACCTCATAGTGAAAAGACACGTCTCGAAACATGTGGTTCGAGACACAAGGTGTGAGATATCGAGACTTCGACAATATTTCCTCGATTTCCGAATTCAGAAGCGACCATTCCGATGAACACATGTATGTCTCGCGTCGGCGAGACCCCCTAAGGTTGTCCCGAAAGGATCGTGCATAGAGTATCAAACGATCCCTCAAGACAGGTCGCTGAACACTCACGGGAGCTTACCGGCTTGAGCCGCCGCTGCTCCCTTACAGGAGCGACGCCGAAACACGTTGTTGAGTCTGTCCGGGAGTCGAGCTCGAATACATCCGCCACTCGAATGGGTTTTGTCTGCAGGATAAAAATTTGACTCGAGTCGGGGGAATTCCTGTCGATGCCGTGAGATATCAAGTCTCGAATTGCGCCGTTCGATACCGCAGCCGAATCTAGCTCGCTCTCGCTGCATCGACGGCAAGCATCATATGAGGTATATTCACAAGTTTGATGAAACTCGAATTTCCATCGAGCTGTTCATTTTGTTGTGGTACTTTGCCGCTTAAGGTCGAAGACTCCATGTCCAGAAGGGGACGACGATTTTCGAAGCATTGTGGGAGAACAGAATAGAATCGCTCAGGAACCCCAGATTCGAAGATACAATTATTACATCGAGCCGCGAGAAAATAAATTGGGCAAAAGGCGAGAAGCCGTCGGAGTCTAGCGAGCTCATAGAGCGACGAGCCAGCCATCTTCGAGGGGGCGGCCTTAGTCTGTTCGTGGAAAAATTGCGTCATCGTAAAACACAGGCCGGTCGCTACCGTCCAACAGTCTAGCTCGAGCAAACACTCATGCACTCCCTTCCTCGAGAGGCCGAGGCTCGGGCCGATGGCGTGGAAGTTTTCTCTGGATGCCGCATCCTTCGATCGAGTATACCAGAATTTCCAGCTCCATTCGCATGTTCGCCCTGATTCTTCTTCATGCTCACCCAGCTCAACTGCAAACGCTTGGAACGAACTGTGGATGTCTCTGCAGCGCTGGGATTATCCTGCTATCGGAGATATGCTCGAGACCGATATCGGTCTCATCTGCTCCGGAAGCTCTACATCGTAGCCCTTCCCGAACCCTCGACCGATGCGGCATTTTCTAATGCCGGAATCTACTGTGAGCCACCTTGCTAGGCGCGATCTCGAGACTAGTCTACCGGCTGTTTGCAGGCGCTGCCAAAGTGAGCACGTGCATTGAAAGCCGAACGGCAGCGAGCGAAGTGTCTTACCAACAATGACATCATGGTAGCGCCGCCTATCCCTCCTCGCCCATAATACGGGCAGAGCTGCGAAGGCCGGTCAAAACAAAGCTACCTCAAAGGCTTCCACCCCACTCTCAGCGTTTCACGTTGTCGGAGATGGATGGTGCTTTCCTGTATTTCGATACTCAGTGTCCCTCTTCCAATTACCCTCAGTACTACCAGCACTACGAGAACGGTTCTGCGTATTGCGAGCAGTCTTGGAGCAGCTCTTCTTCAGGACAGAGTGTCGATACCACCAATGAGTACGCCGCTTTCGAGCCCCAGTTCCACCCCGAACCTCCACGGCCGGAATCGAGCCACGAAAGTTGCTCCTCCGCATCTCCGCCCCTCCCAGCCAATGGGAAGAAGCCGACGAAGAAACAGCGCGAGCAAGAGATGGAGCTCGAAGAGAAGTGTCTGGAATTGGAGATCAGAAAACTTCGTCGCCTGCAAACTCGATACGAGCAGTATCTCTCGTGCATCCAGAAGCGGGTCAATGATCTGTTACTCGCTCGCAGAATGTGAGTCGAGAAGAAAGTGAGCCGCGGGATGATTTGTACATCGCTGTATATACATATATGAACGCCAAATAAATTTATATACAAATTCGAAGGCTCGGGGAACCTTTCTCTAAATGGAACTTCTCTCGGAAGAGCCAGCTGCCTTGACATGAATTTCGAAATTGCGCCTTCTTGTGTCCCGATGTTAGATGCCTGAAGCCTGATGATGATTGTGTGAGACCTCGATCCAGAGTCCCCTCCATGGATGTATCGAGAGAATTGTCCCGAGGAAGCCCCAAGCCTGAGTCTTCACCGCTGGTTTGTTTTTCTCTGTACCTGTTTTCTCCACATCTTCCCCTCCGCGGGCGATGTCATATGACATAACGATAATGATGTATCTTGGCCAAATCCTGGTCTATGGACGAGTAGCGTACTCTTCACCGCTGCGTCCTGTCGAATGGATTAGATCTGTCGATAAATTAGATCTGTCGTCAATGCGTGAAGGGAGATCCACAACACTCCAATCTATCGCACCAAATCAAGCAATTAATCGTGTTGGAAGTTTTTCCCCCTTTCAGCGTTCGGAAATCGAAGCGACTCGCTTTGATGCTTGAAGGATGATTCTTCTGGCAGGAGACCTCGGTCTAGAAGATACATTTTCGAAAAGAAGCAACGGAGTGCCAGCACTTGCCGGCACCAACTGTCTCCAGGAAATCCGAGGGTGTCCCCCGTCGGACACAAGAAATCATCAAGGAAGATTGCCGTCAACATTTTTTCTCGACAAACGTTTCAGACCACCTTGCCGTCATGATCTCCCCGTCGATGATGAGTTCCTGATTCGTGAGAGCTGACCGAGAAGGAACGGAGACCATGAGGCAAGATGCGTGAGTCAAGGGAGACATCTCCCACCGTGTTTTCGGCTTGCGATCTATGTACACCTCTCCAGAGCCGATGCGGATATGACGGTGAATTTTCTCGCGCTCACCACCATCTCCGAGGTGACTTCAAATGACGTACCCTAGGAGTTCTTCGCTTGGCCTGCTGCCGGCACTGTCGCTAACACCGATCGCCCAGGTCTTGAAGCGGAGTGTTGGATGGGATTACCAGAACGAACCAGAGGAGTCTATCTGAGGTATTCCGTCGATCGCTAAATGCCGCCACCCGCTCTTCATTTCCCCTCGATCAGACATCATGTGAGGAAAGGGTACAGCTGGGTAAGGGGGCGTTTTCGGCCACGACTCCGATTTTCGAAATGGATTGCGTGGCGTAATGTCCCACTCTTTAGGAGCATATTGACGCACTCAGATCATCTCAATCGCTTTTCGAATCCGAATGGTATGCGAATGAAAAATTAGAGTGTGTTCGGACACCTGAAAACACCTGAAATCTTTGAACGGTCATTGCGCGAGAACGGAATAAGCTAGAGACTCGCGCTTGGTGGCGTTCGAAAGCTGGGAACAAGA